GCTGTTATAATAATCACACAGGGAGATTCATAGAACAAACCTGAGGAACTGATAAAAGAAAGTTCAACACTTGAGGAAGAAAGAAAACCAGGAGTGTCTCACTGTAGCAGGAAAGCACAAAGGAGGAAATCAATGTGTTAATAACATAAGCAATGTAGTACAACTAAATTAAAGTTCAGTGAATGTGAATTAAACCCAAAATAAGGGAGCAGAAATGCAGAATAGGAAATTGGGCAAGGATCTTCACTTATGCCTGATTCTATTCTGAAAGAGGCTGACCATGGGTGAATATGCATCAGGTGCCAAATTTATACTAGGACAGAAAACAGGTTTTTCAAGTTAATTATGCTTGTTTTGACTGTAGCTTAATTATTTTGCCAAGTTGCATCGTAGGAGTGCACCATTTCCTTTTTCAGCTGAATTAAAATGTGAGCCAATTCTTAATCATGAGACCAGAGATAGCCAGGTCAGTTCCTTTCCAATGAGAACACTTTTCTTCATAATAAAACCAAGATATGTGACCTTGCCAATGATTACTCTTAAGTGTACTTTCAAAATAAAATTTTAAATTCAATTGTTATCCATGCATGACAATGAGTAGTTTTTGATTTGTGAATCGATCTCTCCCTCTCTACCAAAGGATGCTTTGCGGTGGAAAGGGAAAAAAATATATATTGAAAAGTGCAAAGAACGCACCTATAATGTCCTAGAATCCCGACAACAGCCATCGTCATTCCAGCAAAGACAGTGTATGTCTCACCAACAAAGGCGGAAGAAGGATACCTACAGGCAAGAGAATCAAAATTTTGTTAGGAAGACTATCAAACAAGAATAGCATTTATAGAACAACTCAGTACTGAAATAATGTGTTATTACCAGTTGTAAGAAAGCAAAGCCAAGGAGGTGGCCAATAGGGGTTGAACAAGATAAATAGAGAATGCATGGGCCTGCTGATACTCAGGGTCTGAAGATGCTCCAATTTGCATGATATTATTTACCAAAATCTGCAAAGTACAAAGATTCATTAATCTCATTAAAAAAGAAAAGAAAAGAAAAGAAAAAGATTCTTAATGTTCAATTTCTATGCTTACAGAAAATGCAATGACAACTGTTTGCCCAACTTCAAGACCATTCAAACCAGTATGAATGCTAATGGAATTCGTGCAGAAGACTGCCAGAAGTGCCATATATAATTTATAGATCCATCCTGTCAAAACAAAAGAGAAATTTAAAGTAACCTTAGAATAATTCAATGATCTAATAGAAGAAAATAGAAAACTATGAAATAAATGATCAAGACCAGCATCTAGCATATGAAAGATATCTACGGAAACATGCATAATCTGTTTCGCCTCAACATAAACCCTGCTTATATACAACTTACCTTAGCTGTGTTCAGTAACTGAACGTCATGGATCTCAGAAATTAAGCTTTCCAAATGAGAGAGCCAAAAAAAAGGAACTTACAACTACATCCCAGAAGAGAGCAAGCAACCAATTCAAGAGGAAAGGAACATCTTACAAACTAGTGAATTAGAAGTTTCTGAAGATTCTCATTAACATGTAGAGGGACTGGCAAATGAAACCAAGAAACCGGCAAGCATTTGAAATGATAAAATGAAGGGAAGAAGAAAGTGCATTGAGGAACAGAATCATTTAAAAGGACAAGTATAGAATAATTTCTGAAGTTACATAATGGAAGTGGATAAGTTTTCTTCCTATTATTACTAAAGATGCAGCAACTAGATGGATCTCCAACTCTCAAATTAGAAAGACCAAAGGACACACTAGTCATAACCATATCCAGAACAGTAATTTTCCCAGTCAATGATGAAATCTCATCTTTTAATAGCAATCAAGTTAATAATTAATTCTGAAATTTTAATTGTTTCTTTGTCAATGCTAAATTAATTATCAACATTAGTTCACACCTAGGTCCAACATATCTAGCCCAACATATGGAATTAGAGGCTATGGAATGATGATGGTTGTATGTCCAGCATATGCTATCAATAGGGGAAGAGTAGCAAATGATGGAAGTAGTAGTTTCCTGCTCGACATAGTAGTGTTGTAAGCATCAAGCAAAATATTAGCTCAGAAGTTGATGTGGGGAAAACAATGAGAGGAATCTAAAATGTACACAAAAAACTTAGATCATGCATACTTACACTCTCCAAGGAACATCCAAAACGTCATCTACAAATCCAAGCAAAATCACGAAGCAGATAGATGCCAATGCTGCATTGTATTCCACAAGCCACTGCATAAAGAAATAATCAATGGCTCAATTTTCAATTGACTGAATAACTACCAAAAAATATGCTAATTTGAGGTAACCATGTCCAAGGAACAAAACAACAACCATAAAGTTGAAGAATGGGTAACAAGAAATGGAAGTAATAAGAGAAGCGAAACTTCTCAGAAGCCAAAGTATGAATGGGAATCATCCTCAGACTTTTATTTCAGCTCAGCTAGGTAAAGCTATTAAGCTAATAACTATTCAGACCTCAAAATTGGTATCAGGCATCAAAAGTTTATCAACTTTCTGAAACTTTCTTGTAGATGCCCTAGAACTGAACTAGTTCAAAGAAGTGTAAAATTTAGTAGGGATAGGAAAGAAAGAAAATGAAGAGATGGGAACTTCTTGACCATAGCATACATTTCATACTTACATTTGAATCTGCCGTGAAGTTAAAATACTGGAACACGATGGCCAAGACCAAGAAGATGATGCCTACAACAATTCCCAATGATTCAGGCCTGCCCAGTGCTCAATATTATCACTAAGCAGGTTTTCATTTGAGAGTTTGTCAAGGAATTAATCATTTATGCAGATAAACTCTATCAGAACATATGCAGTGGTTTAACTACATACGTGAAAATCTAAAATCTAATGCATCTTTGATTCACTTAAGCTAAAGGAAATTTGAATGAAAACAAGTCCCCCTGCATCTCAAGAACTTTGATAAAGATAGAGAAGATATTTTAGCATCCACCAACGTTAACAGCAAAGTTAGAAAAAAAACAAATGGCTAATAATTGTAACAATTAAAACATAAATATGAAAATTTAGAATTTAACAGGTGGGAAATTTATTAATTCATGGGATAATGATATTGACACTTAAGAAACAGAAAATAAAATAAGAAAGCTGAGATATTTATTTGATTGAAACAATGCTGGTGGCACCTGAGAATCCAAGGAATGCATAGTTAGCACTAATGAGCATCGTAGAACCAATGACTCTTTAAAAGCCAACAAATTTGAGAAGAAAAATAATCCTCAATAAGAACCCATTTCGTGAATTGGAATCAAAACCCATACCCATTTTATTAATCGAAATGGATATGCAAAAGTAACATACACCCAGTTCCCCAAAGGCCCGAATGAATCAAAACCTAAATCAAACCAAAGGATGAAAAGAAATTGAACCCACACTTTAACAGTTCCTTGAGGGGTACCCTTCTTGTTGATATCATACCCAAACAAGCTGCGCCTCAGAACATATCTAGAAGCTACGGGTATCATCTTGAGAGTAACAAAGAAGCCAACAAGACTGAGTCCAGAATTGATAAGGATCGATCTCTTCAACTCTTCTTCGATCTTGTAATGGTAGAAGAGGAGGTAAAAGTATGGGATTGACAATAAAAGAGAAAGCTTCACGATTACTCCCCATTTTGGCGGCGCGATGCAGATCAGAAGAGGTACTTTCCTGGGATTTATGGTCTGCTTGAG